TGCTCAGCCAACAGTCCTGAGTCCTGTAGCCCACTTGTCACCAGATGTCCAGGAACTAGAACACCTAGTGCGGTCCTTGTTGACCTGAGTGATGACCGATCTGGTATAGGTTTCTGTAAACTACATCTCACTATATTGCTTATGGGAGAGACACTCTTCGCCTGGCTCCTATGATGAGACCTGTCCAGTATGGTTGAACCTCTGGCATAGCTCTCATCCTCCTCGGAGCATGCAAGCCCCACATCCACGTCAAGGTAGTGCCACACTGGGGGATGATGATGATGATGATGATCCCTATCTGTAATGCTCACTAAAACTGAAAGGAGTCAAGTTCAACAAATTTCATACCGCTCTTCTTATTACTTTTCTAGGCAGCTGAAGACAAATTTCCCATCTCAGCTGATCAGCAGTTGGCAGTAAAGGAACTAACTACATTTCTCAATCATCTACCAATCTTTCCCACAAGTGCTCCCTTCCCATATTCAGTCATGTCAACTACCATGTGTCTGAACTTAAACCATATATTGTCAATATACCATCTGGTTCTACCCTAACACATCAACTGTATCCAGGACCCACCAATGCCTCCAAAACCAAAGAATCAAAGCCCTAAGAGATACCTCAGAAAACGCTGATACAGATTAATACACTTGGTACCCTTAAGCACAAGTTCCTGAGTTCACATCATTACATAGAGGCACTGTTCAAAGAAATACCTAATTACCTACCTCTGTATGCCTTGAATGAAGAGCATTGTATTCCTTCTTTAGTTCCGCTTCTCTCTCCTCCAGTCTACTAACTGAAAAAGAAAATAATTTATTCACTTCTATTTTCAACAATGGTAACAAAATATATTTACATCAGACCTAGTTTTTACAAATCCAGACTATTAATTCAAAAGCCATTTTGATCTATTTTCAGGAAAAGGCATTCTTGCTTTTCCATCCTCATGAACATCTTTCTCAAACACTAGACAGGCCAAGGTAATTGGAGGGAGCAACTTAGTCCATGCTCAGCCCATTTCCACTCTTCTTATTACACTTGACACAATCCAGGCAGTCCAAAAAAGACAAAAAAAGTGCTCATGAAATTCTTATACAATGCAATATGGATTATACAGAAAAACAAGGACTTGCCATATACTGTACAGCAAATTCATCCTGCTCTTTTGGAATGGCTTACTAATGGTTTCTTGCCCAGGACCACACTGCTACAAAATCCTAAAGTTACATTTGATTATTCTCTCACCATATTTCTTTAACATTAGAAGTATGAAAATGAAAAAGCTAAACAGTGCCATAACACAATCAAATTAATAAATTAGCAACATATCATTATCCTATTATGTATGTTTATAGGCACGGGGAAGTAAGAAAGAAGAATAGAACAGAGTATAATAAGTTTGCCCAGCAATAAATCATTAGTTATTGTTTTAAAGAAAGGCTTAGCAGCATCTAAGCACAATGGCAAATATTAAACATATCTATTCTCCACTGTCCTGATTAACTACACAAAGGAGAAAGGAAGGCAATATTCCACCTAAGCTTTCTAGTATATTTAATTTTAATCTCAGTAGAGAAGATATATAATCTCAATGTCCTCTCTACTGAGCCATTTGTCAACTATACTTCTGCTCCATCTAGTGGACTTTTTTGCCACCATGGTAATATACATGGTGTCAATAATTAAGGATATTGTTTTGGATACTTTTGCCTCCTAAAGAAATTGAGATGTTCTCCAGATTTATTTATTTATTTATTAAACTTGTCCCCACCCATCTGCCCCCAATGGGGGATTCTGGGCGGCTCACAACATATTAAAACAATAAATAAATATACAATTAAAATCTATACCAGTACACATTTACAGAAATAAAAGGAAAAAAAAATCCAGGAGGCCACAAGGCAGCAACACCAGGCCTCTAGGGGGCTAGCCAACCCCACATTC